TTAAAGTCCATTAAACATCTTATAAATATTTCTAAATCATTGTATGACATTCTTAAAGTCCATTAAACATCTTATAAACATCTTATTAATCCATCCATTGGTTTCCACTTAAATCAATTCACACATTATTTTACATCGTTATTGTATCTAATTATTTAATAAAAAAACATCCCAAACCATCTTCCATTCCTCTCCATCCCTATGGATGTTTTGCTAAGTTGCTATTTATCCCACTTAAATTAGAAAAAAACCTAATAAATCTGAGAAAAAAATAACATCCAACCAACGGTTTTTTACTTAAACATCGACACATTATTTTAGGTCGTCGGATCAATCAATTTTTTTTCTTAAAAAAAATAAGTATCACAACCCTTCCTCCATCCCCGTTCCCATGCGGTGTGTGGAATTACATTTCTTTGTTTTTAATATCTCTATGATAATTAAAATTAAAATTATTTTTATGGGCAAAGAAAAGACCACAAACGAATCTCCACCTTTTAGGTCTAACCAGCTATTATTCTTTAAGAGAAAACAATAACTTAATGTCCATATTGACTATATTTAACTGCTAACAAAAAAATAACATTATGGACCCAGCCTCTACTCAATAAAGATAAAATTTGCTACAGGGCATCCAAAAAAAGTATAATTAGCTAAGAGACACTGCAAGAACGTATATCTGCTATGGACACCGCAAAAAAACTGGTAAATGAGCTGCTGGATACCCGTGGCATTATTTTGTTGTATCCAAAGGAAAAGGGGAGAGAAACAATCGCGAAAGTATGATTTTGCCTCTTCCTGTCATGTGTGGCTCGCATATCGCTCTGACGCCGTGGTAGTCATGACATGGGCGGTGGAGGTATGGCAGCGTGGCATGGCATGGCTGTGAGACCGACAACAATAGCCTGTGCTCTGCGGCGCCCTCCTCGTTAGGAATCTGGAGATGGTCCACGTTGTGCTCATCCCAAGCGCAGTGTGTGGCAGAGCATCAGTGCTGGCATGGCCCTCACGCTGCAGCGCGACGAGTGCGGGAATGACATGGAGCCAAAGGCCCAGGCGCACAGGCCCTCCTTGACCCCCCCCCCCTCTAGAGAGCCACCTCATCGGCGGCTAGTGCGGTTGCAGCGTCGAAGGTGTATGTGAGCCAGACTTGGTAGGAAGGGGAAAAGTCATACTTTTGTTATTCTTTCTCTCTGCATTTCCTTTGGATATTATAAATTAATGTCACGGGCCTCTAATAACTAATTACCAGTTTTTTTGTGTCCCACAACAGATACGCGTTCTTGCGGTGTCCTCCGGCCGATTACACCTTTTTTAATGTCCTATAGCAAATTTTACCCTAAATAAAAGAAAATACTAAAATTGTTCACTAAAAATCAAAATGTCCCAGCTTATTTTTTTTATAAAACTGGTAGACCCATTACTTATATATCCCGTTAGACATCTAACGTCTTTCTATCAACTTTTTTTCAGCTTGTATATAGGAGCTATTACCCATACATTTTGGTATTGATGCTTTTATCAATAAATTATCATTTTAGGAGATATATAAATAATCTTAAGATGATCATAGCATCTAAATTATATATATGATCTACGAAGTCACGTGGCCAGTTGAACAACATACTTATTGTCCTGAGCACGTTGGTTGCACCGAGGAATCTTAAGAGTAAAACAATCGTGATGTAGCCTCAGCAATATATAAGCCTAAAGATAGGAATTAAAAGACCATATCCTTTTTTTTTGGTAAAACTTGCTACAGGAACATCATGAATTTGTGACATATAGCATAGAACAATCTAGAAACATGTAATTATTACATGACGCTCCAGTTTAGTACTAATTTGCTAAGAAAATACTAAGGCAGCTATTTTAATTTTTCTTACTTAATTGGAGCGAGATAATTTAGAAATAATGCCTTTACCCCATGCCAGGTTGTAGGATCAACCCACTTATATTTTCATCCCGACTTACAGCGATCAAAGCATTTCAAAGATGCTTTATAAAGTGGATTTATCATAATATTATATATTGTAAGTAACCAACGTTCAAAGCACTTTAAGTAAGTTCAATTTTAGTTTATGATAAAGTGAAAGAATATTTTTGATAGAAAACCATCCACACAAGGACATTCGTAATAAAATTTTACGCACATGCCCGCGCATATGCGCGGGCTACCTTCCTAGTTATCATATTAACGATGCATGCATACATACATACATACATAGATACATATACATACATACGTATACATACATATATACATATATATGATTTCAAGACAGGCATCTAAAGTCGTGCAAAGCGTGACTACATGGCTACTAGTTCTTAATGAATTTGATAGTATACATGTATAAGGACTGCGGGTTCTATTTTTGAGAACTCTAGGGGCCTCTCTGCATATTTACAGCCAATGACATGTGGACCCCATCTTTTAAAGTCTGGAAAATAACTAAGGAAATGCACAAACAAATATATGTTTAGCAGAAAAATGCACAAACTTGTAAAATCCATATGAAATCAAATATAGCTTATTTTGAGGTGATTCCAGTTTCTAAAGATTCAAAAAGTTATGAACTTTATTCCAGGAATAGAAAACTTGACACTCACTGTACAAATATTGTCTCTAAAATTTATCTAAGATAGGTCATACATAAAGCATATACAAACTTATAAAATGCATAGAAAATTCAATTTAACTTATTTTGATACAAACTCAAATTCTACAGATTCATCATCATGCACTCTCTCTCTGATTAAGTGAAATAAAAGTAATTACTTACTTTGCATCAAATGCCTCAAACTATTATCTTTAAAATGACTAGTTATAAATGAGTTAAAGTTTAGAAATTCATATAAAATTCAACTTAGCTTCAATTTGAGTAAACTTAAGTTCTGTAGAATCACCAAAATGTGTATTCCCAGGTTATGAAATAAAATTTTATATTTACTGTGTAGTAAAAGCCTCTAAATAAATGTAAGGATTTACTAACTTATAGCAGACTTTAAATTGTAAAATTTGTAGAAAATTCATTTTTAGCCTAAATGAAATGAACCAAGTTTCTATAGAACCAGAAAATAGTGAGCTTCAACATAGTAAAATAAGATATGACACCTTTTATACAAATTATAGCTTTAATCTTTAAATAGATGACCTAGGAGTTAATTACCTAGTGATGGTTAAGCAAAATATAGGTGTAGAACTATTTATAATGCACTCTAGCTATGAATAAACCTAAATAAAACTTATAGACCAGTAGAACCATAATTCCATCCCTATCCACCAAAACATAGAAGAACTTGGCTCATATTGTAATTTCTAAGTTAATATAAGGTATTGCTAGTCTTAGACTAGAGCATCCCTAGTTTATAAAGTATGAACCATGGTAGTAAAAACTATAAACATGTGAACTAAAAATATTTTAGTTAACCAAATTACTTATTTTTTCAACTTAAACATGATGTAGCATGTTCTGAACCTACGACTTAAGAGTCATGCACATATAGAACACTATATGCCTAGAATAAGTTGTAACTTGTAAAATCTATAAGAAAATCATTACAACTCCAAAAATTGTGAAACCAAATGCGATAGTCTTACAAAACACATCTCTATGCCCCTGTATAGTCAAATCTAATAAAAACCACTTTGCAATAATATTTTGTAGCACTACCTAAGACTATACTACTATAAACCGATAAAACTTCTAAAATTCATAACTCCCAAATGGAATAAGATAAAATAGAAATTCTTTCACCTAAATTCATTTTAGACCAGTACCTAATCACTGTGTATAAATCATGCATTTTAGAGCATTTTGGATTTTCAGCTCTTTCGGTGTTTAATTGCATAACGTGTCCTTTATTTAGATAATTGCATATTCGGTGAAGGAGTGGATTAGGTGCTAACATTTCTCTGATCAAGGCAAGTTTTTCTCCTCCCATCCTTTGAACACATCGAATCCCATGATTTGAGGAATGAAAAATGTTTGTTTGCAAACTTGCATGTGAACTTAGACTATATCGGTATTTGAAACTGGGTTAAGGTAGTTATGACCTATTTGCTGCATTCCCTACCTTGCATAATTGTGATCCTTGATGTTTGACACAGAACGGATAGCAGAACTATGACAACACATGCTGGTAGCTCAAAGTAGGCAAAAGAGCGACGCCGATGTCAGAAGACGGGAATTGGAGTTTAAAGTGGGCGATCAAGTACTTCTAAAGGTTTCTCCTACCAAAGGCGTTGTGAGATTTGGAACGAAAGGTAAACTCAGCCCTAGGTATATTGTTCCATTCTCGATAGTGGAAAGAGTTGGAATCCTAGCCTATCACATCTAGTTACCAGAGTCCATGAAAGGTGTACACGATGTATTTCATATTTCCATGTTGAGAAAAATTTGAGAGACCCTGATCATCGTATTATCGTAGAGCCGGTGGCCATTGAGCAAGATTTGACATTTGAGTCCCGCCCTGTACGAATATTGGAGGAATCTTAGAGGGAACTGAGGCATAGAACTATCAAGTACGTCAAGATTCTCTGAACGCACCAGACAGAGCGAGAAGTAACCTAGGAACTTGAGTCACAAATGAGGGAGAAGTACCCGGAGTTGTTCACACCAAGTGAGTTATACAAGTCCTACCTATGAGTTCCTTTCTGTAGTTATTCGAGGTATAATTGGACAAATTCGAGGGTGAATTCGATTGAAGGAGGGAGGAATGTAATACCCCATGTTCTAGAGTATGGTTGGATGAATTCGAGGGCGAATTCGATTGAAGGGGGGAAGAATGTAATGCCCCGAATTTCGAATTAGTAAACACGTAAAAGTTCAACTTTTAAACCGTTATTCGAATAGGCGATCAAGAATCGTGGATGCGTAGAGCTCGCCGAGTTGTGCAAAATAGACTATAAATTTATAGTAATCGGAGTCCGAACGAAGTCCCGGGGATCGAATCGATATGGGCCGTTAGATCTCCTATTGTCTCTTTATATAACAAAAAAAAAAGAAAAAAGGGATCGCCAGCAAAACCCTAGCCGCCGCCGCTCATGCCGTCCTGCGCCCTTGCCGTCGCCGCGGTCGTTCTGGTTGCCCACGTCGCCTCTGCGCCGCCGCCGCTGCTTCGGCCGTCGTCGTCCATCAGGGCCACTTGATTCCTCCTGCTCGGCTCGTTCTTGGTGAGCTCCTGCCGCCGATCTTTGTGCTGCTGTCGTCTCCTTATTTGGTTGCTGGCTGCTGATTCATGCGATTGCTTGCTCCTGCTGCTGCTGCGGATGCATGCGATTGCTGCTGCCGCTGATCGCTGCTGCAGCCTGCAGGCTGCTGCTGCGTGGCCAGGGAGGAGGATAATAGGAGGAAGAAGGAATTTTGGAGATTTCGGTGATTTCGCGGCTTGCGGGTTTGTTCTCAAATTCTAGTATCCACGCTGCAACGGTACTTTTGGTTACCCCTTAGAAGTATAAGATTCAAATAGAAATTTATTCGATAGCCCTTTGTGCAATTTTTGAGGTTATTGATTATAGGCTGAAACCGTATTTTTAAATCTAGTAATAAACCGTCGGGATTCAGGTTAGTTGACCTAAATAAAGTTTGTAGTCATCGTCGATATCTTTCAAACGGCGCTGGTTTCACTCAATTCCGATAAACGGTTTGGGAGAAACAACAGAAACAGTACTGCTGACTGGGTCCGGAAATCAGGACAGCAATTTGTTTTCCTTAATCTGGGATTTGCAGAGGCATAATCGGAATTTTCGCCCAACATGAAAGTTGTAGACAATTTTGTACAGATATCCGAAGTTATATTATTTCTTAGATTTCATTAGACGGTTTGTGAGTTACGCATAAAACAGTAAGGGAACAGCTATAGGTTATTTAATATAAATCGGTAAAAAATTATATATTCTAGGTTTCGATTTTACTAAATGTCCCTTGTAACAATCATTAGTTGGATATAGTGGTTTATGCGTAGTTTTTCTCCACAGGTGTGGAGGGTTCCAACTTGGAGGAGTTGAGTTGGATTATCGAAGAAGTTAAGGCAAGTACAAGATGGGCTTGAGTGATGGATAAACTGTGTTGCTTTGTTGGTTTCATTTACCCAATTATTATTCGAAGCTTCCTATTATTAATTGTGTGGTTTTGGTATTATGCTACATATTCATATTTCACTTCATGTTCAAGTTAACGACGTTATTCATGTTTCATTCTTCCGGAAGTTTTTTGTTTACATTATACAAGTACCATGCGTAGTCATGGGAGTGCAATTTGGATTTTTATTCATGATCCTTGAGAAGCGCTGATCACGCTTGCTCGGCTTACCGGTAATGCTAAGAGGATATTCACACCTGCCCGGGAGGGAACTACAACTCTTTGCCTCCTTCGTTTTAAAATAAAGGAAATCAAATGTTTCATATTGGTTTCTTCTTGCATTAAACCTGTGTATGTTTTACTAGTTAAATATTGTACTTGCTGAGTATTCTTTACTCACTCTTGTGTTTAATTTGGTTTTTAGGTACCTAATAATATTGATCGGCATGGGACGGGAGTAGCACCCTTGGACTACACATTATTACTGCACACTATTGAAATTTAATTTTAGACTATGTTTCTGCTTAGCATAAGTTTTGCGTAGAACTTGTAAATGTCATTTAAAGTTTCGGTCCTTATTTTCACGGGGAATTCATGGAGCTAGGATGGTTTGGATTATGTGGATTATATCGTTATTGAGTTATCTTATAACTGCTTGTCGTGGATGTCCGTATTTTTAGGGGAGGCTTTGCTGAAATTTCTAATAATTTTGGGAGTTAGTGGTTTTGAATGTATTTTGGTGTGGCACTTTAGGTACGTGGTTACTTGGGGTGTTACAGTTGGTATCAGAGCAGGCGGTAGGTCCATGTGAAGTGACTGGGTTACATCAAATATAAATCGACATAAAATTTTGAACTAGATTTCCTATCCAATTAAAAATTTCTCTTAGGATAGAAAATAATAAAAAGTAAAACTTGGATTAGATGTAATCATCTAAAACTTGACACACTGGTGCACAATAGGATGGGGGTGCATGGGTCATTCCTAGCATTTATGTTTCTGCTGCATATATGTGTGTATGATTGTGTTTCTTTGCATGCTATTGTTTGATATAGCTATGCCGCCTAGTGAGTGCTCGGTTAGCCAACTGAGGCCGCAGGAGAGGCGGAGGTAGAGGTCGCGGTAGGGGCCACCATAATGAAGAAGTTGAAAATAATCAGGATGAAGAGGTAGGGAACAACTCGGTTGCAGAATCCCCTATTCCTAATCGTGGAGGTCGTGGTAGGGGCCATGCTAGAGGCCGTGGTAGAGGTTGCCATAATGAGGCGGCATCATCGAACCAGATGGAAGATGAGGACATGGACCGGCTGTTTGTATCTAATGATGCTGCTCGAGCTACTCGGGGAATGACACTCACTAGATGGACATCCGTGCGCTTAGACACATTTGATGGGTCTAGTACTCCCATTGATGCTGCAGACTGGTTGCGCAAGATGGAGAAGTACATGAGTGGATCTAGAATGACCCCTGAGAAGGTTGCTTTCACGCCTTTTCAGTTGACTAGTCAGGCGAACATTTGATGGGACGAAGTTGTTGAAGCGTGGAACCCTGACCGTGGTGCTATTACTCTGGAAGTTTTTCTTCAGCAGTTCAGAGCTAAGTATTATCCAGAATCATTTGGGGACATGATGAGTGATGAGCTAAACAATATCCAACATGGAAGCAAGACTGTGGATGAGTATGAGCGGGAGTTCAGCAATATTTTATGCTTTGTGCCTAGCGTGGCTAGTGATGAGCATGAGAAGGCTAGGAAGTTCTTTCGAGGGCTCAATGCCCGATATACAAAAGTGATGGGAAGAAACCCGCCTACTGTATACCTCAATACAGTTGAGGAGGCTCGGGGGATGGAGGTTGAGCCCCAAATTACTACTGCATAGAAGAATCGTCCTGGCAATGTCACTAGCAACGAACAGAGAGAGCCCATCAGGAAGGGGACGAGAACCCGTAACGACCACCATTCAAGAAGTACAAATAAAATCAGGCCACTCAATCATCATCCAAACCTAGGCAGTGGGTTTCTCAGTTTTATTCAGCTTCACGTCTTGCAGAGTCTCAGATAATTCGCCCTGTACCAGGGCAAGGGCTAATTTTCTTTAAGTGTGTAAAGAATCACCATTCTGCAGAGTGTGGGTTTACTGGGGAATGTCGTGGGTGTTGCAAGGCTGGACACATAGAGTTGGTATGTAAGCGTAAACCAAATTCTATCATCACGTGGCAAAGGTCTATCTCCTAATCAACAACCTCTTCGAGAACTAGTTACCCTCGAGGTTCAGGTTCATCCACTAGTAGTCCTCATGGTGCAATTCAGATGATGACAACTTATCCACTTCCTCACCAGCAGTTCACACATAATTACCCACCACTATCACTACCAGGCCAATATTGGTCCACGCCTCAATTTATTGCTCCACGTACACCACTCCAGTTGCCTGCACCGCCTATGGTGCATCCTTCTGCTTTAGCTCCACCTCAGCAGCAGGCCTCAGGCTCTATGGCTGGAGTCTACAACATGCCTGCAGCTTATTCTCTTGGTCGCCCGGATGTCTTTACAGGTACACTTTCAATTGATTCGCATGATGCTCTAGTTCTGTTTGATTCTGGTGCTACATTTTCCTTTGTTTCAATCAAGTTTGCGAAAAGAGCTAATCTATTTAGTCAAGAGGTCTCTCAATCTGTCCAAGTCAGCTCTCCAGGGGGTATAATCTCTAGTTCAGTAGTATGTCCAGGTTGTGCAATCTCTATTGATGGGGAAGAATTCGTGGCAAATCTAATTGTGATTCCATTACCGCTCTTTGACGTGATCTTGGGCATGCATTGGTTGAACCGATACCGTACTGTAATCTCTTGTTTCTAGAAGACTATTACCTTGGAAGCTCCATCAGGCGACGATATGGTTTTCCAAGGGAGCGCGCCTCCGCATTCTCTTTTCATGATGGCAAGGTTGTTTCCTAGACAGCTTGCTATAAAGACAGGGTTATTGTGGGCCTTAGCCGAGAAGGCATCCAAGCCTTTATTGATTGAAGATGTTCCTGTAGTGCGAGATTATCCTGATGTTTTTCCCGCAGAATTGCTAGGGATGCCACCTGAGCGTGATGTAGAGTTCCGTATTGATCTTGTTCCTGGTACACGACCTATCTCCAGAGCCCCATACCGGTTAGCTCGTCCTTTCCAAGAAGAGTTGAAGAAACAGTTAGATGATCTATTATCCAAGAAGTTAATCTGACGGAGTGTGTCGCCATGGGGTGCACCAGTTATTTTTACTGAGAAGAAGGATGGAAGTTGGCGTATGTGTGTGGACTATCGGGCCTTAAATGCTGCGACAATCAAGAACAAGTACCCATTGCCTTGTATTGAAGATTTGTTTGATCAGTTAAAGGGAGCAAAGGTGTTTTCTAAGATTGACTTGCAATCTGGTTATAACCAAATTCGAGTGCGAGAAGGGGATATTGAGAAGACTCCATTTTCCACGAGGTATGGGCATTATGAGTATAAAGTAATGTCTTTTGGGCTGACCAATGCTCTAGCCTATTTTATGGAGGCGATTAATTGCATGTTGCATAGCTTTCTAGATAATTTTGTGGTGGTGTTTATTGATGATATCCTCATTTACTCCAAGGATGTAGAGCAGCACGAGCGTCATTTGAGGATGGTGCTAGGGACTTTACGGGAAAACAAGTTCTATGCTAAATTAAAGAAGTGTGAATTTTGGCTTCCTGAAGTGGCTTTCCTAGGGCATGTAATCAATCAGCAAGGTATCTCAGTTGATCCTAGCAAAGTTTTAAGTGTTGTCGGATGGGAAAGGCCGACTAATGTTAAGGATGTGACGAGTTTTTTTTTTGGGGGTATGGTAGGGTACTATCGACGCTTCGTGAAGGATTTCTCAATTATTGCTAAACCTATGACGATGCTCACACATAAGGATGTGAAGTTTCAGTGGACGAACCTATGCGAGCGTAGTTTCCAACAATTGAAGCTGAGGCTGGTAACTGCTCTGGTGCTTACTTTGCCCCCAACCTGGTAAGCGTTTCACTGTCTATTCCGATGCTCCACGAGTAGGCCTTGGTTGTGTTCTTATGCAAGAGGGCAATGTTATAGCTTATGCGTCTAAGCAGTTAAAGAAGCATGAGCAGAATTACTCCACTCATGATCTTGTCTTTGCTCTCAAAATTTGGAGGCACTACCTGTATGGAGAATTTTGTGATATTTTCACTAATCATAAGAGTCTGAAATATATCTTCACTTAGAAGGATTTGAACTTAAGGCAGAGGAGGTGGCTAGAGTTGATTAAAGATTACGATCTCAATATTCAATATACACCGGGTAAGGCGAATGTGGTTGCAGATGCTCTAAGCCGTAAGGTCGTTCCTCTGACTGTGAGTTGTTTGATAACTAATTTTGAACGGATGAATATCTCCTATTGCTACGCCGGAGTGGCGAATACCGAGTCACGAGTCATTCTTGAGTCCGTCATACCACAATGAGTGCTAGAGGCCCAACAACACGTCGGTTGCTGCAAAAAGTTAAGAAACGTGTAAGGGAAGGAAAATCTGGAGATTTCACTTTGGATTCCTTGGGCGTTTATGTGTTCCACAGAAAGCTGAAGTCAAGGAAGAGATTTTGCGAGAAGCACGCCGAACACCTTATACTGTGCATCCTGGCAAGAACAAGATGTATCATGATCTGAAGAAGATCTATAGGTGGAAGAGGATGAAAGTGGATGTGGCAAAGTACGTGGCATCATGTGGAGTATGTCAGCGAGTGAAGGCTGAACATAAGAGTTATGCTGGAAAGTTACAATCAATGGAAGATCCTGTATGGTCTTGGGATGATATTGCTATGGACTTCATGGTTGGGCTACCTCGTAACCCACGAGGAAAGGATGCCATCTGGGTAGTTGTAGATCGTCTAAGTAAGGTGGCACATTTCATTCCTATCCGCACCACTTATTCATCGAG